TACAAGCTTGTTGGGTTTCACTATCACTTTTATTTCTTGAGGTACCACAACTTGTACTGAGTAGATGAAGTTAGGATGACAGAGGAATTAACTCTTGTTGTGTCCTCTCGTAAGCCTGCCTGTTGGACCATGCAGCAATGATGCTGACTCCTGGAGCTATAATAGTTCATCCAAATTCAATCCTAGCAAGTGCTATTTTTGTGGAGTTTTTGTAAGTTTTCAAGGTGATTCGTTGGCAAGAGATGAACATCATCTGAATCTTTTTCTAAGTTTAGCTGTGTTTGCTAAGATCATAGCAACAGCTTGACCTTTTTCTAATCTTCCGTTGATCTTCCTAGTTGATTTTGTACAGGAAATGATTCTTTCTTAAAAGACTTGAGATGTGAGAGACGCTTAAAGTCCTTTATAAACAATATCAATGTTATATATTTAATGAATATTGATCTTAGGGCTACATTGTATGATAACATCTTTGCGTTGCGTACTTCTCTTCTCTCTTTTGATTTAAACCAAAACACGTAATAAATACAATGAGTAGACTATATCAGAAATACACCCACATATACGCATTTCAGCAAACATATGTTATATGTCTATTAAGAGAAAAACCTCATCCTACTGTTAGAAATATTTTATATTTTACAAAACTTAGTGACTAAATTTGTTAGAGGATAATTTAGTACTTTAGTATGTTGTCTAGGTTGTCCTAGTTTTCTGTGCATAAATAGATTAGATGTCATTTAATGTAATTATTTTTTACAACTTTGTAGCCGTCATTTGCATATTCTCTCATTCTACTCATCTCTTTTAACCTTGTGCACCAACAATTAGTATCTAGAGCTCCAATTCGGATTCACGGGAAAAGACGAGTGAAACGGTGAGGCGTTGTGTGGTTGATTTCATTCTTGAATTCGTGTTGAATCTTGAATGAAATCGTAACAGAATTACATTTTCTGACTCCGCGGGATTGGGAAACATTGTGTTTGGTGAGATCTGAGTGATTGCACAAGATTTAAGATGAACGAAAACAATGGTCTGAGCACCAAGCTTTTAGTGTTTGATGGGAAAAACTGGACTCGTTGAATGATTCAGATGCGTGTATTGTTCGGTGCTCAAGATGTGCTTGATCTTGTCACTGAAGGTTACATTCCAGTAGCAACAAATGCAACGGAGGAACAAAAGAACGCACAGAAAGATACGAGGAAGAAAGATTAGAAAGCATTATTCTACATCCATCGGCGTGTGGATGCAAATGTGTTTGAGAAAATCGTTGATTCAATGACGACGAAGGTTGCGTGGGATACAGTGGTCAGGTGCTATGGTGGTGACGCATCAGTGAAGAAGGTGATGTTTCAGTCTCTACGAAAGTAGTATGAGAATCTCAACATGAAGAACAATGAAAGGTATCTGAGTACATCTCCAGAGTGATTCTAATCAATAATGAGATGAAAGCTTGTGGAGAAACCCTTTCTGAACAAGTAATTATTGAGAAGGTATTGAGATCCCTTACCCCTCAGTTTGATTACATTGCGTTAGCAATAGAACATTCTAAATATCTGAGCACCATGAGAATTGGAGAGTTGTAAAGTAGTATAAAGGCACAAGAGTTACGTCTGACTAAAAGAACTTCTGAAAGGAAAGTAGAGCAGCAGGCTCTGAAAACACTTTTTGGTAAGAAGCATCAGAAACAGTCTTGGTCATAAGTCAGGAGAAGATCTAATGGTGTTCAGAAGTCATAAACCTCAATTTCTGATAGGCAGAAGAATGCTCAGAAGGAAAAAGAGAGGTATGACAAGAAGAATATCTAGTGCTACTGTTGTAAGAAGTTTGGCCATTTTGCTACTGATTGCTGGTCAAACAAGGAAAGGAAGTCAGAAGAAGCAAATATAGCCAGAAGTTCTGATGATGAATCTGTGCTACTGATGACTTATGAATCTGATGATACAGATTTGACAGACTGGTGGTATATGGACACTGGCTGCTCAAATCATCTTACTGGAAGTAAGAAATGACTGGTTGACTTTAACTCTGGTAAGAGAAAAAAGATCAAATGTGTTGATGATAAATACCTCAACGTTGAAGGTATGGAAAATGTCAGAGTCGTTTTGAACAATGGGAAAACAACATTGATTTAGAAAGTGTGGTATGTACCTAGCATGAAAAACAATCTGATGAGTGTGAGGCAACTAATTGAGAAAGGTTTTTCAGTTACCATGAAGGACAATCTTCTGAAGCTGTATGACTGTAATCAAAAGCTGATTATGGAGTAAGAACAGGGAAGAAATAGAACATTCAAGGTGAATGTAAGAACTGCAGACTCTGAATGTCTTAGTGCAACAAGTGTTGTGAAGGAAAGTGAGTTGTGGCACATAAAATTTGGTCATCTGAATTTCAGAAGCTTAGAGCATCTGTATTCGAAAAAGCTGGTACATGGAATTCCTACAATTAAGAAGCCTGAGAAGTTATGCAAAGTGTGCATGGAAGGAAAGAAACCAAGATTTCCATTTGCGTCAGAAGTAGCTCCAAGAGCAAAGCATGCCTTGGGAGTAGGGCATTATGATGTGTGTGGTCCATTTCCAATAGCATCGATTGGAGGGAATAAATACTTTGTGTCGTTTGTTGATGAATTCACAAGAATGACATGGGTATCCCTTATAAAGTTCAAACATAAGGTGTTTACTGAATTTAAGAAGTTAAAAATGAAGGCTGAGAATCAGAGTGGTCAGACTCTGAAGATTCTCAGAACCGACGGTGGACGTGAGTATAACTCCATTGAGTTCAGAAAGTTCTGCAAGGAGAATGGAATTGAGCATGAGGTTACTGCTCCTTATACTTCTCAACACAATGGTCTTGCTGAGAGAAGAAATCGTACTTTGCTTGATATGACGAGAAGCATGCTGAAGGAGAAGAAGATTTCTCATACCTTATGGGGAGAAGTTGTTGCCACCGCAGCATATGTGCTCAACAGATGTCCAACGAAAAAGCTGAAGGAAATAGTTCATATTCAAAAGTGGACTGAAGATAAGCAAAGTGTTAGCCATCTGAATATATTTGGTTATGTATGTTACAAACATGTTTCAGAAGGCAGAAGACAAAAGTTGGATGATAGAAGTAAAGTAATGTTACTAGTGGGGTACCACAGTACAGCTGCGTACAAGCTCTATTGTCTAAAAACTAATAAAGTTGAATTCAGCAGAGACGTCGTTGTAAAGGAATCAGAAACTTTGGATTGGAACAAGTCTCAATCAAACTCTGATGTGGGAACTTCTGAAGAAATTTTAGAATTCAAAGTTTCTGAAGAAGAGTCAGAAACTGGAGAAGATTCTGAAGTTGGAGTAGACTATGATGGTGATTTTGACTCTGAAGGAGATTTAGAAGGTGAAGATGATTCAGATCCAGATTTTGACAGTCATTCGGATTCTAGTGGTGATTTAGATTCTGGGAATATTTCAGACTCTGAAGGTGGTCAAGGTACTGGAGGAGGTCAAACTTCTGAAGCAAGAGCTTATGAAGGAGAAGCTTCTGAAGATAGAACATCTGGAGTTCAAGCATTCGAAGGATATTTTGAACGAGGTCAGAGGCCACAGAGAATCAGAAACATTCCGAGAAGATTTGTAGAGTTTGACATGCTGCAAGACACTAAAATAGATTCTGAAGGAGAATAAAAAATTGAACTTAAAGATTGTTAGATCTTGTGTTTGTGGTCTGCTGCAAAACTTGAATAAGAAGGTGAAAATGTTATGATGAAAGTTGCATAAAATAAATTCTAAAGTGTATGTTTACACTAAGTTTTAGATTAGATTCGCCCCCACCAATTTAGCCAAATTGGATGCAAATGGGTAATCCAGCGAATCTCCTTCAGGATACTTTAGAAACCTTAACATGAATTGTACATTCACATTAAGCCTATCGATCTATGATATTTTACAGATAAAGTTTCTTCACTTATTCTTGTGCACAAGAAAAATAAAAGAATGACTTAGATATAATTTTTGACACTTGAAACAAGTAGTTTTTGTGTCTTTTTTATGCCTAACAAGTATTTTTATTTATAGAAAATCTTGTACCAATTAGTGAGGAGAAATAATGTTTCAATGGTTTAAACATGATCAGAGCAAACTATTATATATCAATAATAGCAAACCATTTCATAAAAAGTTGTGTTGGTTCGGTGATTGCACCTTATGAGCACACGCCTTATCATAATAAAATTATTATTTATCAATTTAATATTTTAAAAATTTCTCTAATAGAAAATTTCACTATTTCACTATACATAGATACACAATGATCATAATAAGCAAATATTACACAATGATCATTTGGCTCGAACTTTAATTGTTTAGGTATCTAAAAGTTAAAAAGTTTGTGAGCTAGAATTCTATCTTTAGTCATTATCCTTCTTTTGCTTTTTTGAACTTCCATTGATCTTAAACATTCACATTTAATCATTATGCTTTCTTTCACTGTCAAACTCTTATTTATTATTAGCAATGTAATAATTAAAAAACCTTTAAAACATACTAAATTTCAAATTTTCAAACAATTTCATTGATAATATTAAGACAAAAAACCTTTAAAACATACTAAATTTTCAAACAATATCACCATTAATTAACTAAACAAAAATAAAATATAAAATAAAAATAAAACAAAAAATTGAAAAAATAAAAACTTGTTACCACCTTTGAGTTGTGTTCTAATAGATATTTGTTTAACTTCATGAGCTTGATGCTTCGAGTCCAGTTAAGGAGGATAAACAAAAAATAAAGCAAATTGAAGTCTATTTTTCAATACATGATCCTCAAAACCATGGAACCAATATTGTTCATAGTGATGTATTACATTTTTCAGAAGTAATATACTTCAATACTTGAACCCTTAACATGCTGCAAACTCATATATAACTAGAGAAGAAACTCGTTCGCGATTGATACGGATGATAAACGTAGAGAAAAAAATAAGAGTCGACGAACTCAGATATAGCAAAACATGGAAATTTAGTTATCCTCTTGAACCGGCGATTCTAACATTCTTACCGTGCGAGGGAGCATAAACTCGGCAAATATAGGAAAATGAGATGACGGATAACATTCATCAATGTTATCGTTCACCACTTCACATGAAACGGGAATAAGAGATCTACCTCTGAAGAGGATCCAATCCACGTGAAGATCTTGTGTTTGGCGATCCCAACAGAGGCAGAGAGCTCGGAATATTAACTTGAGGTATTCGACGGTTCCTTGTTTGTCACCTAAAAACACCATATAATAGCACATGTCATATCAGGCTCGTGCTCGTGGAACAGAAATAACAATATTAAAGCGTCGAAGCGAGAAGTACCCTTGAATCCGTGATAAGTGCGAATTAAGGAAACATTTTTCCTAACACGCGCGCTAGGCCATGCATCCCTCATATCACCAACTACACCATGTTCTCTGCGCTCACCGAAAGTAAAGTCGTGATATAAACTTGAGAAGTGAATATTGGTAAGAACTAGTGATTGGAAATATGTAGAAACTACCTCGATCTTCCAAGAAGGAAACGTCCGGTAGTTGATTCCTTTTGCGTATTGAATCCACCGCAGTACACAACTGGTAGAGTAGGTGGTAAGGATGCAATGTGCTGCCATGTGAGCAAAGCGCTTCGTCTACGGGCGCGAGGACTGATCGCATCCATGTTTGTATTTACTATCTGAAACGAGAATCCGGGCGGTTCAACTCCTTTCAGTTGAAATGTGTGGACATCTTGTCAAAGAAAATAACCGAAAGATTGTACTACAAAAGCAAAACACAGTTTGAAAACAATTCAAAATCATAAAGGATATAGCCCATGTTGCGATGCAAGGAACTTCGGAACCCCATGAAATGCTTCCGGGAACAGACGGAGATTCCGACAACCAAAAAGTTCCACCTTCTAGAAGCTCTACCTTCATTTCAAAGAAAAAACTGTGAACCAATCTGTTCACCAATCAGTTTAGTAGAAATTTATACGAGATAATACGAAAATCTCCGCATATACCTTTTCCTTGTCATAGAAGATAGTGCAATGCTCATCAGTAGTATCTTGTGGCCCTCTCCGCGAGACGCCAAACTGATCATAACCTGAGTTTTTTGTTAAATCAACTTAGAGGAATCTGTTTCGAAGCAGATTATTATTCCGCACAAAAAGGGTTTGATCGAAAACACATGAATCTTTTAACCAGAATCAATTCACTCAAAATCAATTTTTTTCACCGCATAACCAAACATTCGCACAATTACCAAACAATGACACATTGATTGTGAGAAATGAGACGCAAAACATGCTAGTAAATGTAATCAACCAAACAAATTTGACAAGTATAAAATGAATCCTATTAGAAGTTTGTTTACCTGGCAAACCCTGCTGGAGAAAATCCAATTGAGTTTTCACTCCTGATTCCAGATGCAAATCAAAACAAACAAAGGGATAAATAAACTGAATCAAAACAGTAATCATCAAAATCAAATCAAATCAAAAGATCAACAAAGCAACCATTTTTAGTAATTGAACATGGAAGGGTTCATGAAGAAGGATCCAGAACTAGTAAATCAGAAAAAAGAAACGATTTTTATGAAACCCAGATGAAAATAAAAGATGGGTATGAGATGAGAAGAAGAACCTTGTTGGGTACAGAGGATGATGGGGGAGTAACTGGTAATAACACTTATGCATATGTCTCTTCTTTTGTCCCATGAATTAGCACTATCTTGAGGCTCATCATCATGAAGATTGAAGGTCATAACAGTCAAAGACACACTCATTTTTCTTGCTCCAGAATAGAGTAAAGAATCTTTCTCTTTCTAGTTCATAGCGAATGGAATGAAAACTGGAACAGGTTGTTTATGTTTGTGATTCATCATGGAACAAGGGATTTTGTTTTTTTATTTGTTATTTATTATTATTCTCTTGATTGGTGTGTGAGTGTGAAAGAGTGTCTTTGAAACAAATCTAAGTTTTAGTGAAGTCATAGGAACAAGAACCATTTTTCCTTGTCATGTTTTCTTTAACTTTTTTGAGGGATTCAAATCTTCATTTTTACTACCGGATTTCACGTTAATTAAACACAACCTTGTCTTTAATTAAGGGGTTTGATTTCCGCATGTTAATACTATTTTCTCTTCTCCCATAATCAATAATCCATTTATTCATTTTAAGTTATAATATAATTTTTTTTATTGTAATTTTTTCACCAATATCGAACTTATTAGATCGAATAATTTGGTTCAAGATCAGATCTGACATTAAGTGGTTTCAATTCTAGTCTGATGAGTTCAGTTTGATCTCTTGTTTAATAAATGTTATTCCTTCCGGTACTATTTATGAGAGACAAATTATTTTTCAAATTTATTTAATAATTAATGTATTTGATTTATTGATTGATGAATAAATTTAAAAAGTAATTTGTTTCTTATTTGAAGTAATTTTTTAATCCTCCAAACTATTTTCTTGGTTAATTGGCCAATTCTTTTAAATTTAGCCAACAAAATGTTAACTTGTACTTATATCGCAATTTAGTTAGCAAAATTGATCAAAATGACTTACCAAATCCAATTTAAACGTATATTCTTCTTCATTTCAAAGCATTTCATAAGTTTATATTGTTTGCGTTTTCAGAGTTCCTAATTTGTATGATAATAGACCGGTTACCTAATTTAAACGCATAATCTTTCAGCCCCAACATCTTGATTCTAAGTCTTTGTTCTATGAAAATCTTTACTTGATCTCATCGGTATATTGAGCGTCAGTTTATCTGAAGATTGAGAAGAATTCTCACCTTGTTTGTAGGCTTCCACACATAACTACCAAGATGATATTTGGGAGAAGAATCTCCTTCTTTTCACTAGAATTGTCAAAATCTCCTTCTAACATTGTGAAGGTTTTGAGAGAAACTAATTTTTTTATAGGTGTCGAAGATCTAACACAAAAATGAGTGAAAATTATGTTTCATTCGAGTCACAAGCAAAAAGTATTATTTGAGTCAAAGAGAAAAGTGATTTGAATCAAGATCTTAAACATATGAGAAACCCATATGTATAATTTGAGTCATGATTCGAGTAATTTGTATGTCATGATTTGAGTCAAGTGTAAGCTATGATTTGAATCAAGTACAAATTCTAATTCGAATCATAACAACTTCCAACATTTCCTGCAGTCTCTATTTCATTTGATTCGAGTCATGTAATGTGTGATTCGAATCACACACCTAGAATCTTGCTATTTTAAAGAAGTTTTAAGATTATACCACGGTTATAAGTTGAATCAAACTCAAATATAGTTCTTGATACAAAAGAACTCGACAACTGACTTAAAACATATTGCTAACACATAATCAAACACTTTAATTTATGCATGTTAAAAATACGGAACTAAAACCCGATCTATAAATGTGCAATTAATGAGGAGATTCAATCACATAAAACTAAAAATCAAAAACTTAAAAGACAAGTAACAAAACTATAACCGTTAAGCTATTAGAGACATGCAACTTTAATGATCCCTTAAATTATTAGAACAATCTTAATCATAAACTTCATTAGGATATGGTTATAATTAAGTAATGTATGATTAAGGATGAATTTATTCTTGAGGAATCTTATGAGTGAATGGTATGATCCATTGATTAAGGTAACTTGTGTGGTGGGGTAGACATTAGTGAGACATGTGTAATTAGAAAATTATTTGAAATATCTATGTATTAGAAAATATGTAATTATAATGGCAATTACACTAAGATTGAGTTTGTTTAAGATTGAACATCATAATGTGATGCATCTTTGTGGTGTGTGAATTAATGAAGTGACGACTTCTTGGAGACATTATAGTGAAGTGATTAATTTGGGTGGTATGCTTCGGTATTCACTTGGATAAGCACGACTGTCGTGATTCGTGTGAGTGTTACAAGAAATATGTGGTTGCCACAACACCTCATTTGACTAACTTGCATAGAGAATGTTGGTATCACGATGTATACATTTTCAAATGACATATTTGGATAACACGGAACTAGAGTCTCATGAGTCATAATGTATGGTTAATGATCCTTTTCTAAGCTCAAATATGAGGGATTTAAATTAATCATGATTTGTGTGAGTGATGCGAAATTTATATGGTTGTCACAACATATCTATAGATTTATTTGAGGGATTCAATAGAAATCCAGTGAAATCATTATTTCACTCTATATTATATTTTGTCTTTACGGATTAATAGATGATAGAAAAAAGAACGTAGAAAACTATTTGAAGACTAATAGATGATAGAAAAAAAAACGGAGAAAGCTATTTGAAGACAAAATGCGATCTTCATTATGTTTTAGTTATTTTAGTTATATACTTGTACTGTCATATCTTTTGTCGGGTGCTTTGTAATAGAATATATTTTGATGTATCAAGTACCAATACTCAATGCCTCGAGATAGTATTTTAAACAACTAAAAAAAATTAAAACAATCTATCTTTTCTACCCTCACATTCTTTTCTACTCCTCTCTCTTCCTCTCATTCCTTCTCCTTGTATCATTTGTGTTTCTATCGTTTCTACACAATGTTTAAAGCTACTTGTCAAAAAAAACTCTAGAAATTTCATGATAAAGCCCGTTTCTATATACACACATGTTCTCTAATTGGCGAACGTTTCTACATGTACCTGCTGTGCATTAATGACAATTGGACATGGAGTGTTAGAATTGGGTATCTTGTGGAATTTGGTGAGACTCATCTTAAATTTTTTGATGGATTGTGTAAATATTTTAACAAATGTAATTAAATTGTTTAAATAATGTAAAAAGTTAATTTAGACTCATTTAAAAAACTCAAATGAGTATAATAAATGTGGATGGTGATACACTCTTTATTCACTGTTGGTATAGCAGCTTTGATGAAAGAACCAACATCACCAGTTTTATATATTTAGAAATCATGACAATCCAATAAATTGCATTGAACTCAAATGTCACCTCACAGCTTCAGTAACACCTAACGTCAATTATTAATATTGTTAATTAAAATGCTGGTGTGGAAAACACATCAGACATATTACAAGTGTCACATCTCCTTTGTGCAACTTTGGCCATCAGTAGTTCAAACACTCGTTAAGAAGCACATTGGTTGAAACAAGATATGCTTCTTTTTCTTTTCTTTTCTTTTTTGACTCAACATGCTATGCTTCTAAATCCTTCGTAGGATGACAGAAAAATATAAATAAAACAATTAGATGCTTCACTGAATTACTAGCAAACCATGAAAATTCATTCCTTTTTTTTTTGTTAAAAGTTTGAATACACCTCAGCTTGCCACCTTTTCCATCCACCATCAAACAACTTATTCTAATATACGAGCAAACAACCCCAGGAAAAACATAACCTTATCTTATACCTCACTCACTATGCCAACCATATTTGAAAGATTTCACTTTGCAGTTAAGAAGAATTTTTCAAAACCCATTCCACCAAAGTAGCAACGCCAAATCCTGTCGCTGTGCGCTTCTTGTCATTCCACACAGGACCAGCCATGTCAATATGCAACCACTGAACCTTTTCATCAACAAACTGCAACGCCAAAATTGTTTCAGATTACAACTGTTCAACTTCCAGTTTCACACAATCTAGAAAATGACAGAATATTGTTCAGATGTTCTTACCACTCCATAATACGCAACTGTCCAATAATCTTGATAAGAAAAATTCAAAGAGTTAACATAATCTATATCATTATTATGCACGTACCTGTTTCAGGAAAAGAGCAGCAGCAATAGAACCACCTGGTCTTCCACCAGTGTTCAACATATCAGCCACTCCTGATTTCATTGTTTCCCAGTAGCTTTCTTCTAATGGCAGCCTCCAAAATTTCTCTCCACTCACTTCAGAAGCTTCCAAAACTTCTTTTACCAGCTCGTCACTAGGGGAAAACACACCTTCAAAATAATAGTTTGCAGTAATAATTAGACATTGTTTGACGGTTTTATCCTCCCCCAAGTTTAGCTCTATTATTTCCTCCAAAATGCTAAAATTGAAGAAGCTTATAGTGCCAACAAAATATTGAGACTTTTTTCTAATTTTTACAAGCAAATTTTGGTATATGGTGATAAAAGAAGGTTGAATCCGCAAACATAATAATAGTTTTACATCTTTACCTGCAATTGAGGGCCCAAGAGCAACTACGCATGCCCCTGTTAAGGTTGCCAAATCAACAATCTGAAGAAGAGTTTATCTGCCAGTTAGCACTATTCTAAAACCAAACCATACACCTAACAAACAAGTTAAGCTTGTCTAGATGGATTACTAGAAATCAGAAAGCAGATGAGAAGTTTGTAAAAACAAAAAAAGGCCAAACTCAGCACTATTTATTTCAGCAAATCTTGGTAGAAAGAAACAGAACTAGATTCTTTTAAACAATGAGAATGGTAGATATTAAGGAGAAATATGCTGGCAAAACCCTCTTTATGATTAATTCATTTTTTTGAAAAGTTAATTTTGTTGCCTTGTAAATTGACCACTTACTAAAAAATGTTTCAATGTTTTGGAGGATGAACCAATCACAAAGAGTGTACTCAACCCAAGAGTATGTAAATATGAGGGTCATACTAGTATTTCTCTTTCATTGCATAATTAAAAAAATTTAAATGTGAAGCAAATGTTTTGGGAAGGCAATTAATAGATGTTATGATTTATAGGGATGCTTTCATACTACAGAGAAATAAAGATGCAAATGCCTTGCTTCATACCTTTTCAACACCTTGGTTACAAGCATAAACCAGAGCATCTG